CTGCTAGCTCTTGAAGCCACAGCGCTTAAAGGTCTATAGGGTCTATCGGGTCTATAAGGTCTATAGAGTCTATAAGGTTTTGGGTTCAGGGGTTCAGGGGTTTAGGGCTTAGGGCTTATAGGGTTAAGGGTGTATAGGGTCTATAGGGTGTAGGGTTCAGCAGCTCCGGATCCAGCAGTCACTAGTTAAGCTAGCGGTCCGGTTAAGCCAAAAACCCACCCGCCCAAAGGATCCCATAACACTCAGAATATCCTAAGGGTCCAAGTACCCTCCCCAATATTAGTCTAAATAACTACTATCCGGAACCAAAGTAGCTAATTATGGAATCCTTAGGAGTAATATACAAACTATCGTCTCAAAGCCCCGAAGCCTTTAACCCTATCTCTCCTAAACCCTATAAACCCTATAGACCCTATATACCCTATAGACCTTATGGACCCTATAGACCGTATAGACCTTATAGACCCTATAGACCTTATAGATTATAGACCCTTGTAGACCCCATAAGCCCAGCAATTTCGGCGCCCGAGGCCCTAAAGTCGAAACCACAAGGCCCAAGCTCGAAACGGTTTAGGGTTTAGGGTTTAGGGTTTAGGCATGGTCCGCGAAAATCCCCACCCCACCCCCAACCCTCCAGGTACCTACTACATGGGGGTTTCCGAAAATAGGGGACCCTAATATAGTGCCCCAAATAATAGGACCCTTATTATAAGGACCCCAAAATAAGGTACCCCAATTTTCTGAAACTCTCACATAGGACCCTAGGGGCTCTAGTACTCTATATAGTAGGTACCTGGGGGGTTCGGGCACCCTCGAACTGTTTGAAGAAAAAAGAGAGACTTGCCGCAAGCAAGAAACATGACAAAAGCCCGAACCTTGAGCCCGACGCCCCAATTTCGGCCGAAACCCTTTACGCGAAATTGAGGCCGAAGCCTTGTACCGATGTTTGGGCCGAAACCCTATACACGAAATTCAAGCCGAAACACTATACGCCAAATTTAAGCCGAAACCCTGGCCCTATACGCGAAATTTCAACCGAAACAAGGTTTCGGAATAAGGTTTCAGAATTAGGTTTCGGAATTCGGTTTCGGAACTAGGTTTCGGAATTAAGTTTGGAAATTAAGTTTCGGAATTAGGTTTCGGTCGACCTTACTCCATAATTCGGCCCAGGCCCCAGGGAATTATGGATAAAGGTCGCCGGGACCTTAATCTACAATTGCCACTAAAGTTTAAACACCTAAGGTAAGAGAGGGCTTCGGGTCTAGGGGCCTATAGGGTTGAGGGTTTAGGTGTCTAGGGTTGAGGGTTTAGGGTCTAGGGGTCTAGGGTTTAGGGGCTATAGGGCTGAGGGTTTAGATTTTAGGGTCTCGTTTTGAGGGTTTAGAGTTGAGGGTTTAGAGTTTAGAGTTGAGGGCTTAGGGATGTTCAGGGTTTAGGGTTTACTGGTAGGGGCCTTAATGGTCAGAACAGGGGTTCTCTCCGAAAGATTTATCATAGGGGTTATCTCGAAATTAGGGTCTTTTTTATGGGTCCTTTTATGAGGGTGCTGAACTATATTTGGGGCCTAAAAACGGACCCTAGTTTAGAGAACTACCCATCGGGAGTCAGGCTTCAGGATTTCTCGGGCTGCCGTCCGGCAGAGCTGCCGCACCGGATTGGGGGGCAGTGCGGTTCGGGAGTTTGCAGCGTCTTGTGGTTGGCTGCTGCAGGCTTGCTTCTGTCGGTGGAGGGAAGTGAAGTCGATCATGGCGGTTTTCATCCACAAGAAACCTCAACCCTGCAACCTTAACTTAAAGCACTTGGAAACTCAATCCTTCATGGAGCCCTTACCGAAACTATCTAGACCCCCATACGAGCCCTTGTGAAACTCTGCAAACCCCTTACCCTAAGCCATAAAGCTCCAAAGCCTAAACAGAAAACTCAAACTAAAACCCTGAACCTCAAAAACTGAAAACCTCAAGCCATCAATTTCTACAGCCTCAATCATAAAACTCAAAGCCCGAAAACTGCTGAACCAACATGCATAACACTCTCGTGTCAAGCCTTGAGTGACCAGGCCCAAGCCAGGTGGAGCATTTTGCTTCCTTCTCGATTCGCATAGTCCTGCTTTGCGTTTCACGGGTTTCGGGCTTGGAAGGTTACCCTAAGGGTCCATGTACCCAAATAGTAGGTACTTTGGCCCCAAAGTGTCCAAATAGGGACTACCTTAAGGCCAAAGCCAAAGTATCTACTATTTGGGTACATGGACCCTGAGGGTTGTGGCTTGAGGTTCCGGTGTTCAGATTGGCTCTAAGATATTAAGGTTTAGGTATGTTCTGGTGTTGTGGTTGTCCAAGGTGCTTGTAGAGGGATTTGTGTATGTGTGTATACACATATGTATATATATATAGATATATACATACATACATATATATATATATAGTTAGTTAATGTGTGTATATATATATACACATATATATATACACATACATACATACATACATACATACATACATACATACATACATACATACATATAAGTATATAAATATAGATATAAATATGTATATATATATATATGTATATATATATA